TGGGTAAAGAATGGATAAGATGAGATAGATTCTAGAGCTATTTTAGATATAGACACATCGTTGCTCTTGACTGATTTTTCTTTTTTTTTTTAAAAAAAAGATTTACTTATTTATTTGAAAGTCAGAGTCAGAGTTACACAGAGAAAGAAGGAGAGGCAGAGAGAGAGAGAAAAAAAAAGAGAGAGGTCTTCCATCCATTGGTTCCCTCTCCAGATGGCCACAATGGCTGGAGCTGCGCCAATCTGAAGCCAGGAGCCAGGAGTTTCTTCCGGGTCTCTCACGTGGGTGCAGGAGCCCAAGGACTTGGGCCATCTTCTGCTTTCCCAGGCCATAGCAGAGAGCTGGATTGGAAGCAGAGCAGCTGGGACTCAAACCGGTGCCCATGTGGGCTGCCAGCACTGCAGGCAGCGGCTTTACTCGCTATGTCACAGCGCCAGCCCCAAGACTGATTTCCTAAAGAAATATTTATTTTATTTGAAAGAGGTATGCAAGTTGGGGAAGGGAGACAGAGACAGAGAAAATGAGAGAGATCTAACTGCCAGTTCATTCCCCAAATGGCTGCAATGGCTAGGATGGGGTCAGATGGAAGCCAGGAGCCAGGAGATTTTCCAGGTCTCCCACATGAGTGCAGGAGCCCAAGCACTTGGGCCATCTTCTGCTACCTTCCCAGGTGCATTACTAGGGAGCTAGATTGGAAGTGATACAGCTGGGATATGACTGGTACCCATATTGGATGCTGGCACTGCGGACGGCGGCTTTATGCTCTATGCCACAGTGTCGGCCCCATCTCTACTTCTTAAACTGTTTTTGCCTTTAATATGCTTTTTCCTAACCAAAGATTTGATTCTTTTTCTCAAATATACTTCACTTTAGAAGCAAGATACGTTGGTGGGCCCATTTCTCTCCTTTTCTCTCTAAAATATGAAACACATGTAACTTTAATGATATTTTGTAGAAGATCATTCTGTTTTGATTTCACGATCAAAATGTACCTTGAAGAGCCAAGAAAGCTGGGAGTTGCTGGGGTAGAGAAGGTCAGTTTGAGGAAGTAATCATTTCGACAGCTGACATTGTGGTTTGTAATAAACTTGACCGACTGGTTCTTGTGGAAATTTTACTGTTTCTGTTGTTATGACTGCTTCTGCCAGGAAAAAAGATCTGGAGAATGTTTTAGAAAGCATGCTTTTCATAATTCAAATGATAAATCACCTTATGTAACGATCCCATTTATTTATGTCTTCACAGTGGTGTTGGCGAATTCCCTGGACAGTAATGTTCCAGGTGGCCTGTATTCACGTATTCACATATCTGTGGAGACACCTAATTTTCTTCACAGTTGATCCATGAAAATTTTTACCATTCAACATTTCAAAAATCACATTGGTGATGGGCCCCTTTTGCTGTTTCCCTTTGGGACCTAATCAGAGAGAAACTGAGTTTCCCAAGTGCAGAGTTAATGGGAAATTGTAGAGTCAGAGGATGTAGAAGATTAAACGAAGCTCAATTTTGCCAAACTAAGCTTCCTCAGCAGAAGTAGCTGAATTCCTGACACAGAGCCAGCCCCTTTGAGGGATGTGTTTTATCTATGCTGCAATGTCTTCATGATGATATGTATTACTCACTATAGACTCAGAGATCCATGGCTGTGGAACACAGAAAGAACTGTAGCCCAGCAGGCTGATTTGGCTTGGCCAAAGTTGTTGACTGAGATCATCTTACCTTACAGATGTTTAGTGTGTGTTCTAGTGTGTCCTTTTTTTCCAGAAAACTGAGAGCTTCGTTTTCTTATTTTCTTACAAGCTAAGTAAGTAAGATTATGCTTTAAGTCATTGTGACAATCAGAGTTGAATCACACCCGTGATAATGCAGCGTTGCTGTATAATAGTAGGCAAATTGAACGCTTCTGTGTCCCAGTTTTCTCTTCTGTGCAGAAAGGGGCTAATGACACGTGGCTTACACAAAAAGTAAATAAGAATGTATGTAGAGAGATTAGCATAAAGCTGACACTTAGTAGTTTTCAATACATGGAGCTATTGTGAGAAAAAAAAGAGATCTTTAAGATTTTATTCTCAGTAACTGTAGCAATTCTATTCTTTTACGTAGCCATGTGACTTCCGTACTTAGAGCATACTTCAACTTTGCTGGTAACTCCCACCAAAAGACTGCCGCATCTATTTCCAATGGCAAGCAATGTTGCCGCCGTTTTGGGAGAATATGGCTAAGAATAAAAAGTAATTGCTTCCCTAATATCTGAGTTTCAAAAAATTCCCATCATCCTCTCTGAAGTCATTATTTGTAAGGATACTTAAGCATCGGAAGAAAAAGTGTGAGTGAGTCTAGTAATAAAACTATGTGATCATAAGGGCTATTCCTCCTTATGCTTGCTAAAGGAATAAATTGTTGCCTACGGATGAGTGACATAAAGAGTCTTCTGCTTCTCAAGTAATCATTCTCTCCCTTCATGTCCCCCGTACTGATTCATCGGGCATGTGCTGTGTGCTGGGCCCAGACAAATAAAAATAAATCTGAGATCATCTCTGTCCTGCCCAAAACTCTGACATTGTTTAGTGATGTCCATTTGTGGAAACTACTGCGAATATATAAATTTATTTCAGCAAATATAAGGGAAAAGTCACTTTATAAATCACAGTGTTATGTGGGGAAAAGTTAATAGAAGAAGGCATTATCATTCTTTCTGATAGTGTCAGGGATAGGGCAGATACAATTAAATAAAATCCAGGGTAACCAGTGAGAGAAGGCACAGCAAGGAATAAATAACAGGCTATGATAACTCGGGGGAGATAGTTTATTTCTGTCTTGAGTAATCTATTAAGCTTTATAGAAGCAAGGGAAACTGATACAGGTTTGGCAAGTGATAATAACTTCAGTCACTCTTCCATCAAGCATTTGTTGAACCATGACTAAATACCATTGTAGTAACTATCTGAGATATAGACACGATAGAGCTTTGTCTTTCAGGAGCTAATACTCAAGTCATGGAAGAGACAGAAATATATAATCAAATAATTATAGCAGATTTATAATATTAATAGATTATATGATACTAATATAAAAGAATATAAGACAACATAGTTATTGAGGGAGTCCTTGACTATGCCTTAAGTATATAGTCATTTGTGTGTGTGTTGTGTGTGTGTGCACACGTGCACATATATGTGTAGGAGGGAGAGCTGGAAAAGCTTTCTGGAGGGGGCCTTTGAGCTAAGTCTTGAAGAGAGTAGACTTTAGCAAGCTACTTGGGGTACTGGAAGCATAGGTGCATTCAAGGTGAAGGAGAAAGCAAGGCGTATTTCCTCAGGAAACTCCAGTGTCTGAGTACAGTATAAGGAGAATGTGGAGTGAGATATGGGAATGGCAATGGCAATGAGGGCACCAATCACGGGTTAGATGTGGAGAAGAGGCTAAAACTCAGGTAAGGACCAGATCACAGACTTTGTATAAAGCCATGGAGAATCAGTGAGACGGCAGTGATGGGCTCCATAGCTAAGCCTCATGCTTGGTGAGTTGGGCCAATGCACTGCAGTCTACTTTATCCATGCCCCTTTCTCAGCTGCCACTTCTTCCCGCTCCCACCCTGCTGTGTTATGAATATGTGCTCCAGAATGTAAGGGCTGTGAAGCCATTCTGTTAGTATTGTTCAAAATACTTGGGAAACATAAAATAACACTTAGTTCTCCCTTTTTTTTTAACAGTAATAACACATTTAAATTGTATTGCAAGACTATAAGAGTTTACAAAGATTTTTTTATTTATATTTATTTAATAAATATAAATTTCCAAAGTACAGTTTATGGATTACAATGGCTTCCCCCCCATAACTTCCCTCCCACTCGCACCCCTCCCCTCTCCTGCTCCCTCTCCCCTTCCATTCACATCGATTCGTTTTCAATTCTCTTTATATAAGGAAGATCAATTTAGTATATATTAAGTAAAGATTTCAACAGTTTGTACCCACACCGACAAAGAAAGTGTAAAATACTGTTTGAGTACTAGTTACAGCATTAAATCACAATGTACAGCACATTAAGCACAGAGATCCTACATGAGGAGTAAGTGCACAGTGACTCCTGTTGTTGATTTAACAATTGACACTCTTGTAATCCCCCTAGGCTCTTGTCATGGGTTGCAAGGCTATGGAAGCCTTTTGTGTTCACCGATTCTGATCTTATTTAGACAAGGTCATAGTCAAAGTGGAAGTTCTCTCCTCCCTTCAGAGAAAGGTACCTCCTTCTTTGATGGCCTGTTCTTTCCACTGGGATCTCACTCACAGAGATCTTTCATTTAGGGTTTTTTTTTTTTTTTTTTTTTTTTTGCCAGAGTGTCTTGGCTTTCCATGCCTGAAATACTTTCATGGGCTTTTTAGCCAGATCTGAATGCCTTAAGGGCTGATTCTGAGGCCAGAGTGCTGTTTAGGACATCTGCCCTTCTATGAGTCTGCTGTGTATCTCACTTCCCATGTTGGATCGTTCTCTCCTTCTTAATTCTATCAGTTAGTATTAGCAGACAGTAGTCTTGTTTATGAGATCCCTTTTGCACTTAATCCTATCATTATGATCAATTATGAACTGAAATTGATCACTTGGACTAGTGAGATGGCATTGTTACTTGCCACCTTGATGGGATTGAATTGGAATCTCCTGGCACGTTTCTAACTCTACCATTTGGGGCAAATCAGATTGAGCATGTCCCAAATTGTACATCTCCTCCCTCTTTTATTCCCACTCTTATATTTATTTAACAGAGATCACTTTTCAGTTAAATTTAAACACCTAAGAATAATTGTGTGTTAATGCAAAGATTTAAAGACTATAAAATTTCATCCAGTGGTTCCAAATTTTTTTTGAAATATATGAAAATATTTTCTATAAATATTAGACAAATGATAATGTGTGAATTCTCAAATTTTAGAGGAGCAAATCTATACTTAATATTTCTCTCTCTCTTTTTTGAGATTTACAAAGATTTATTAGAGTCAAAGAAAAAATATGGAATGCTTCACAAATATGTGTGTCATCCTTGCACAGGGGCCATGCTAATCTTTTCTGTTTTGTTCCAATTTAGTATGTGCTGCCGAAGCGAACACAAACATTTCTTTTTAATTATCTAACTGCAACTTTCAGGTTTACTAGGAAAAGGTCGTTTAAAACTCTGTAACATGACTGTGTACACTTTTAAATTTGGGGGGAAATATTTAGAGCTTAATTTTTGAACTATTGAAAATAAAAGTGGTACCAGCACTGTGGCACAGCCGGTTAAGCAGCCATCTGCAATGCTGGCATCCCATGTGGGCACTGGTTCGAGTCCCGGCTTCTTTGCTTCTGATCCAGCTCCCTGATAATGCACCTGGGAAAGCAGTGGAAGATGGCTCAAATCCTTGGGTCCCTGCAACCACGCTGGGGACAAGGAAGAAGCTCCTAGCCATGGCTTCTCCTGGCCCAGCCCTGGCTGTTTTGGCCATTTTGGGGGTGAACCAGCAGATGGAAGATTTCTTTTTCTCCATCTCTCCCCTCAGATTTTCAAATAAATAAATATTTTTTTTAAAAAAAAAGGAAAGAAAAGCAAGGCACAGAAATTAGTTTGCAGTCAGATATGATGGCAAAGCCAACAAAGTTCTTAAAAACAATCAAGAGTTGTATCAAACAGAACACAGAGACTGAAAACTCAAGTTTTCTTCTTCCTTCATTCCTGGAAGTAATTCCAGAAGGTTATACCCTGCAGCCCTTCCGTTTCTCATTGTTATTTTCACACTGTACACAGATCTCACACTGCATTGTACTCTATACATTTTGAAGGATCTGTAGCATATTTTTTCTGGCAAATGGCCATTAACCTCTTCAACCCCTGAATGTAATTACGTTGAGTTTCTCCATTTAAAACATGTGTGACATGCTTGGAAAAAATCTTTTCCCTGCCAGGTCTAGGCCTGAATCCCAACCATAGTGACAGCCACACACCAAGGCACATTCCCCGTGGCCGTCTGGAGCGTCATTTGCCTTCACATACTCTCTCTGCAACATGAATTTAATAATATCTGATGTTGATTCTTTAACATCAGCAGGAAGATTCCTCTTCTTTTTAGCTTTCTAAAAGTGGTCTGAGTTAGGACTTGGTCTATTTTTGAGCAGCATGTTTAGTTCACCCTGTACACTGCATTTCAGGGATTAGTTAGTTCTTTACTGTGAGCCTCTTCATTGAATGCAAATATTGAAATTTAGGTTTGGAAATCAAGAGATTTAGGGGCCAGTGTTGTGGCAAGAGTAGATTAAGCTGTCAACTGTGACTCAGTGTCCATATCAAAGTGCTGATTTGAGTCCCAGCTGCTCTGCTTCTGATCCAGCTCCCTGCTAATGTGCCCAGGAAAGCAGTAAAAGATGGTCCAAGACCTTGAGCCCCTCACCCACGTGGGAACCTGGATGGAGTTCCAATCTTCTTGGTTTCAACCTGGCCCAGCCTGGGCTGTTGTGGCCTTTTGGGGAGTGAACCATATGATGGGAAATTCATTCATTCATAGTCTCTTTCTCTCTCTTTCAGTCCCTCTCTCTCATTATCTCTCCCCCATTTCTCCCTCTCTCCATCACTCTGCATTTCAAATAAAATGAAATGAATATTTGAAAAAAAGAAAATCAAGAGTTATAAACTTGGGCAACTAGGATAGAAACTTTTTTTTGAACAGATAACAGATCAATTTTTTGAGCAAGAGTTCAGGAAATGTTTCCTCCATCTTGAGTGCAAATAATTAAATTCCTTGTTCTGGAACATTAAAATATTTGCACAAATTTCACATTCATATTTAATTTACTAATCTCCCCCAGTGGTAAAAGTATTCCTGCAAAAGCTTTCTTTTCCCTCTTTCCCTCCTATAGTTTTTAAGGAACAAATAAAGAACTGGGAATAAAAATCACAGGTATAGGTATTGTTTATTTCTCCATTAGTTGCCAGTAACCTAAAAGGCAACAGAGATCGGAGTCCTTCATAGGGAACTTCTGGAAATTTGATAGGTGATTATTTTTCCACCTGTTTCCCAATTCACCACCCTTGTGTAAACACCTCTCAGAGAGAACTGGTTTACGGTGAAAGCAATGTCATTTTGTACAGAGTCCTGTGTGTCACAAAGTATTTGATTAACCAGAGTAGCCAAAGATTAATTTAATTATTTGGTCAATATTTTACTAGGATTTTCACTTATTACTAACCCCCCCCAAACTTTTTTTTTTGACAGGCAGAGTGGACAGTGAGAGAGAGACAGAGAGAAAGGTCTTCCTTTGCCGTTGGTTCACCCTCCAATGGCCACCGCGGCCAGCGCGTTGCGGCCGGCGCACCACGCTGATCTGAAGCCAGGAGCCAGGTGCTTATCCTGGTCTCCCATGGGGTGCAGGACCCAAGCACTTGGGCCATCCTCCACTGCACTCCCTGACCACAGCAGAGAGCTGGCCTGGAAGAGGGGCAACCGGGACAGAATCCAGCACCCTGACCGGGACTAGAACCCGGTGTGCTGGCGCCGCAAGGCGGAGGATTAGCCTAGTGAGCCACGGCGCCGGCTGGACTAACTCTTTTGTTTTTATTGTAATTAGTTTAATTTCCTATCCTCTTCATTTATGCAGCTGATGTTTTACACAAAGTACTTAAATCATAAGATCAACTGCAAATGTTGGTTCAAACGTTAAGTCACATTTTATCATAAACCTGCACCTTGCCTCATCTTGTTAAGATTTTTGGATTGGGAAAAAAAAAAAAACACCATCAGATAAACAGCTGTTAATTAAAATTAACTTCACTAATTTGCTTTGGACTAATTTTTTAAAAACCCACACTGAGATGTTACAGTAGAATCGTAGACAAGAACTACACAGTTTTTAAAGCTTGAAGATAAATGAGGAAAATCCCTTTGAGAGTGGATGACCGATGAAACCTGAAGAATCAAATCACAGCTGTATCTATTAGTCTTTATTGCTACTATATTTCATAGCTTCAGAGCTTCAGCTGCCATTAAAAATGCCAAAGTCATAGTCTTTCTGTAGAATTTTACATGCAAGCCAATTTACAAAGCTCTGATTTGCAGCTCAGTTCTGAAAAAAAAAAAAAAATGTGGTCTAGGGGGACTTTCTCAGTTCAAACCAACTTGTAGGAATTTGATTAAGTTAAATCTTAGATTGGGGTTCCCTAGTACCTAGTTGTGATGTATGTTGAAAAGAAAATCACAAAATACAGTTCTGTAAATTCTTAGGATGAAATAAGAGGTTAGTGAAGCAGTATGAATTTCTAGAATTTTCTACTAAGTGGCTGTTTTTGAATTATAATTATTAGAAGTGCATGCCAATTGCAACAAGGCAAACAGTATAGAGGCAATGAAAGAAAATAGTTTTTCCTGCTCCCAATTCTTTCCTTCTGGAGGACAGCAAGTATCTTGTATATATTCTTCTTCATCTTTTAAAACACATCCTTCTATATTAGTAAGCAAAATTTGATATTTTTAACTTTTCTAATATGATTTATAATTTCTACGTAATGTACTGATTTCATTGTTTTCACACCAGAACAGCTTTTTCCCAAATTAATGTTTTCATGAAAAATTTGGTACTTCCATTTTTAAAGGCTGTTATCAGCTTAAGTGTGACTTCCCAATTATCTCATAAAACTAGATTTAGAATTAATTCTTTAGTGAATGTTTTGGTTTCATGTTGTATATTCCTTGAGACAGAGATATTGTCACTGTATTACTGACAAGTTCCTGCCTAGTGCCTGGGACATAATAAGGCTAGATAGAGATTAATATAGATAGAGATATATAAAATTATATGAAATATATAACTTATATATATGAACTTATGCAAACATATGTGGCAACTTCAAAATAATGGAAAATTCACATTATTTTTTAATTCCATTTCCCCAAAAACCTTTTAAAGCCTCCTTATATTTACTTATACATATATTTATATATCATATATACAGTATATAAAATATAGAAGTAATGATGAATAGATTCCTTTATTCTTAACAGAAACTGTTTCATCATTGAATTTTGAAACGAGTTTCTAAGTACCGTAACAGCAGAACCTTACATGCTATCTAGTAGATCAAAGCTGCTGCATGTTTGTGGAATGAAGAGGATGGCTCTCTAACCCTTCCAATAGCTCTCTGCCATGCTCTGGGGCACAACCTGAAACCAGTAGATCATGGATAGGGCAGTCACAAAGCAGCTAAAACACGGGCAGATCTGGGGTTTTGCACAACCTATTTGTATGCCGCATACAATTTCTATTTCACTGAACTTATCTGGGGACATCTGATATGACTGGCCACTTGGCTTTCCGACTGTGGCCTGTTTTTTTATACACACCTGAGATTTTCTCCTTGATGTCCTTCATGGTAGCTGGTCTCTAGGAATCCAGAACAGCCCTTTTCTCTTGTTTACCTAAATCACTTTCTTTAATGATCTTATCTACTTCTGTGTTCTTAATTACTGATATTTTTATGGCACCTGGTCCTTATTTACTGATGTTTTTATGGCACCTGGTCCTTATTTCTAGAACCCACCACTCTCTTGAGTTCCAGAAAACACACCTAAATACTGCCATATAACCTTATTTCTCTCTATGAAGATGCTGCAAACTTTCATATATATAATACTATCCTATCATACTCTAAAATTATGATTTTTTTTCTATATTGTGTGCTTTGGTTAATGGCTTTGATTGTTCTATCTGGGAGGCTAAAATTCATCTTAAATGACTTTCACCTTTTTTCATACCCTGATTTTTGTTAGTTCTACCTCCAAAAATAGCTCTTAAGTAGTATACCACATATAATTCATTTCACCAGCAGCTTCATTGGCTCAGAACTTCACAACATATGGATTGTCTCTCCTCTACAATGTTGATAAAAATATTTTGTTTTTAAAGTGAAAATATAAATATTTCATTATATATGAGGAAAGTATCAGTGATTCTCACTGCCTAATTTAATATTCTCGTACAGCTACAGCAGGTACATTGAAGTCCAGGAGGAAAATATATTGGAACTTCTATTTATATTCACTATTTTTAAGCATAGTAATTTACATTTACTAAGAAATGTAACCTA